AGAATTTGGAAAATTCAAAAACGATAAATTTTGTTAATTTAAAAATCAACTTTAATCAAAACTTTGAATGTATTAGTTAAACTTAGAGCGAAGATTTTAATATAAAAAAGAAGGAACATAATTTGCAAAAGCTTTTGCGGACCATATTTTAATTCTTGCGGATCAGTTGCGGTCCGCTGACTACCAGTTGAGAATCATCAGTTTATGGATCGATGATACTACGAGATAACTCATCAGGTCGATAATTTGATCTAGACAATCAAATCTGATTTGTATAATTATATCAATGAAGAATACAAATAAAGAGATAATTCATAATTTCATTTTTATTATTAGTATCGTCTGGATTACGGTCATAAGTTGTCCTGATTACAGTTTAAAACTTTCTTCAAAATCATACAAGAAAAAAGAGAAAAAAAAACTTTGATTATGAAAAATTTCAGGGAATATAGAATTACTTTTATTAAAATGAAATTGGAATTACTCAATCGATCATACAGTATGTAATTGTAGATAGACAAGATGTAATATGGTAAAGGAAGATATGGTTCAGGTATAGAAACTATTTTACTGAAATAATTAACAAACCGTCCAAACCTTGATGGCATTTCAATAAGATTCCAAATTTGTAATCGATATTCTCCAAATCGGAGATGTCTGAAATGATCCGCTTGATCCATTTCAGAGCTGCTCTTGATTGAATCTAATTGATCGTTATTTTTATCAAAGCAACAACACTCGGCTAAATACTTATCCGGAGCAATACACCAATAATTTAATTCATTTAGCAAATCCTTTAGGCATAAATTTTCCGGTAGATGTATTAAACCTGTAATTTCTAATAATTTAATTTGAATTTTTCCCGAAATTTAAATTTACATAATTTATTTGAAAATCTTAAAAATGAAAATCTTCAATTATTTTATAAGGTAAATAGTTAAAAATCAATTAATCAATAGCAATTTTGTTGAATAAAAGTATTAAATTATATTTTGTTATGGAGAGTAAAGTAATTTAGACTCATTTGGGATGCAGTTGTGACAGAGGAATTTAAACCAAACGCATTTAGATAGCTTAGTAATTAGCTAATGAGATGAGATAAGTTGTGAAAAAGAATTATTTCAATTAAATCACGATAATTCTCGATGAAAAAAAAAAGAAGTGAAATAGAATAAATGATTAATCATTTTAATCTTCCTATAAGTAATATTCTATCGAGTAATTAAATTGTAAAAGGAAAAGGGTAAAGGTCAAGAAATATGCATGTAAAATATTAGTTTTGAATTTTGCAAAAAAAAAATGCAATTCAAAATGTTTTAAGTTAAGATATAATTAAGAATGATATTTTACCTGTCAGGTAAAATTGATAAATAACATTAAATAGTAAAGCGGAACGTTCAAAATAATATTCCTTTGTATTTTCAAGGTATGCATCTACCAGCAATATGCGTTTTTCATGTGGCCATTGAACGATAAGAGATAAGAGACCTGAAAATTAATCATTTAAACAAAATTTGTTTTTTTTTTTTTTGCTACAAATTATTTGACAGACTTATGGCTCATTGAAATTGAAATTAAAAAGCCTAGGCCATAATAGCTCATTTATTCACATTGCATATATATATAACTGCCTTCAATGAAAGTTCCACTTTGGAATGCTAAAATTCAAATTTAGTAAACTTTCTAGCTATTTAAAATTTTTATTCGGTAAAATGCTATTATCTTCACAGAGACATGTGGCAAATTAGAAATGATCACTTAAATTTTTGAGGACATCAGAGATAACAATTATCAACATTCTTTTAATCTTTCAGTCTTTTTTTTTTTCGCTTCCTTTAAAATTAACATTACCTGGTAAATTACTATTTTAAAAATATCTAGTATTAAAATGAATTAAATTTTGAAACGTGAAAATTCGAATTTTTAAAAAACTAGAAAAAAATTCTGTTCAAGAATTAATGGATAGAAATGAAAAGAGCTAAGTGGAAAAAAATCTTGCTATAATAATTTGTACTGCTCTAACTTATAAATGCATGCTGCAGTAATGCATGCATGAAAGATGGAAATAGTAGTGAGAAAATGATAAATAAAGATATAAGATTCCAAATTGATATCGAAAAAAGACAATAAAGGAAGCCAGAAATGATTACAAGGAATTAAATTGAAACTTAAAATATTTTATACTTTTTTTTTACTCAACTTAGTCAATAAACTTCTGAAATTGAAACTTAAAATATTCCTTTTTTTAAATTCAACTCTGCCAATAAACTTCTGATATTGTTTTGATCAAAATTTCCATAAGAGGATAGTATTAGATGAGAAATTGGAATAAAAGGAATAGATGAAAGAAGTAAAAATTGTAACCAATTTGTCGTCGTAGAACGGTTTCATTACGGATCAAGAAATGTGTACCGCCAATATTTAAACGTAAAAATGCATCAACATTATTACTATCTACTATTAATCCCATCTGAAATTAATATTTTAGAAACTCGATGTCATCATAAATTTCATACTTTCTGACTTTATCACCATTGCTTATTGAAATTTTTTTTTTTTTTAAAAGCTATTTTTGCTAAAAATTTATTTATAAAACCATTTTAGTCAATTTTTCAAAGTATTGACTAACGGAAAAGTTTAATGATATGAGAAAAATTTTTCCCATTTTTCGTATGGATAATTTCCAATTCATCTTTCGGCATTAAATTGATACGATCAATTTTATTGATCATATCATTTCGGCTTTTGCAATCAATAGCTCAAACCCTTCTCGATATATTTTGTGATATTATTAAGATAATTATTGTGAGACATTCAAAGTACACCAGTTAGTGTTTTCATAGCAACCATTATTTCTTTATCCTTTAACTTTGTAATGTATTCAGAAAGTCACATTTATATTTGCAATATTCAAAATTACTTGAGATTGAGGTTCCGTTTCGGTATCATTATTTGTCGAAATTATGATATCATTGATAACTGACATGATGTGATTGTTATTTAGTGATGCTGTTTGTGAATCTCTAGAATTTTTCAGTTCATCAAGGAAATTTCAATTGGGTATTTTGGTATAAATCTTGAAATTTCAATATTTGGGAAAAATTCCCGCCCAAAGATGGCTTTCTTTTATCAAAACATATCTAATTACTACTTTCAATTATCATTATCAATTATAAATTATCAATTATCAATTATCATTATCAGGAATTCAAATTTTCAATTCATTTAACATTTAACCAATTATAGCCTTTGGACAGTTAGTTCGAAAACTTTCCTATGATTATTGCTAACTTTCAGGAATGATTTCTGCTTAAGTTATCCTTTCAAATCCAATATTGTTTGTCATCTGCTAACAATAAAATAAAAAGGAATGAAAGTATGGAAATATTTTCCGGAAATTCATTTCTGGATTAATTTTAAATTTCCGAAATAACTGTCCGTTGAATGTCCGTTAATTAATCATAGCAAACTTTAGGTCAGCAATTGATATTTAATTGAAAAATACTTTAAGAACTGAGAAATGCAAATGCTTCGTCGTATCATTTGATCATTTTGATGTTCGGTATATCGATTTTTTCTACGAATACCACGTGTTGAAGTAGCCATTATAGGATTCTGAAGAACGGAAACATTCATTGTATCAATTTACAATAGTATTCATCAGATTGAATTGTACAAAATTTTACATTTTAAAAGTAATGCCAGATGTTGACAGGGTTGAAAAAGTAATCAGATGCAGTAAACATTTGGTCATTTTTGATGTTCGCCTTAAAACAGACGTATATTTTGTAAGTCAGTAAATAAATAATAATCAAACGTAAGTCTCATCAAATGCTTTCTCCGGAAAGCAACGACAAAAATTAAATCAAAAGATAAAGTTTGGAATGGAAGCATTGGAGAAGCAAATGCGGAAACGAAACTAATTCCGTAATGGTGGAAAAAATGAAGTTAGGAGAGAAACGGTGATAAGTGGTATAATTAGATGAACTTAAAGGAATTTGGAAAATTAAAGTTTAGGCAAACGTCTTTGAAGGTGAAGAATATAAAACAGATAAAGAAATCAATAAGAGAATTTAAGTTCGGCTTCGTTTTGTTGCAAACCTTATTTCAAGATCAGGAATATAGGCGAGGTAAAGAAATCAGTAAAAGAGTTTAAAATTGTCTTTCTTTTGTTGTAAGTCTTATTTCCTAATGTTAGCGCAACATTGGAAAACTTTTTAGCAGCACATACCTATAATATCTAATTTAAACGAATCGCCTATTAACTAATGAGTGTTTATAAGCTACACCTATCAGCGGTTTTCGAACTTTTGAATTTCTAGTGTATTTAAAAAACATTTGAATTGATTAAATTTATCTAAAATTAGCATTGAAAAAATGGTAAATTGTTGAGCGGAAGAGAGCGGAATTGTCAACAAGTTATAAAAAACGGTAGTGTTTGATAGATGATTTGTTGAACGGAAGAAAGCGGAAGAGAGCGGAATTGTCAGTATGTGCTGAGCGGAAGAAAGCGGAAGAGAGCGGAATTATCAGCAAGTTATAAAAAACGGTAGTGTTTGATAGATGATTTGTTGAACGGAAGAAAGCGGAAGAGAGCGGAATTGTCAGCAAGCTATAAAAAACGGTAAAGTGTTGAACGGAAGACAGCGGAATTGTCAACAAAACATTTTCGAGTAGCGAATGTGTTTGAATGTTGTCGCAAATAGATGTGAAATTCTATAATAAAGAAAAATATAAATAATCACAAATAATTGGGATGTGATGTATTGATTAATTGTGTATCAAGTTAAGTCATGAATAAGATTAAAAATCATCCAAAGTTACTACTGTATGAGTGGGACGTTATCATTGCATAGAGTTGTCTATGTGCTCATTGTTGAGCAATGTACCCAAAGAGTCTTACACTAATGTGCGCTAACAAAGAGTGCTTTATCAGTATGAGCTAATAAAGGTGCTAATCGTTGTAATCGTAAAGTCAATAAATCCTGCAGATAGCAGGAGGATATTCTTCCTTTTTTTTATTCTTCAAATTAGTGTCTTCAAAATTCATTATGTGACAATGTTTTTAGAACTACCTTTATGCGTTATGTTTCGTAATTCTTAATAATTATACTATATTATCTGGTGGTTTAATTACTCAAATTTGAAATGAAAGTAAAGAAAATCTTGCAACTCTGGTGGTACATTGCGCAAAATACATCCAAGAATGCAAAATTTTCCACTTTAGATTTATTGGGCGGAATTGTCAGGCAGTTATTATGGACCAGTTCTGGAGTAGCAGATAATGGAAGCCTTGTACCATTACTAAGCTTGAAGTAGTATCTTCTTGAGCCAAATTATATGTTATTGTTGCAATATTTTGTATGTTTTCCTTTTCACCTGCTCAATCAGCTTAACTATAATCTCAATGAAATTATGATATCCAAAGATAACAAATGAATAAATTAAGCCTTTTTATTTTTGCAATTATACAATTAAAGTAATTAATTTCAATTACTCTAAATTTCCTCATTAACTGTTCAGATAGATTAACTAAGACATTATCTAAAACATATTGCAGTTAATTTTAAGTACAATAAAATGATTTACAATTTGTTGAATTTATAATATAAATATAAACTGAGAACAATAATTGTTCATTCTCAGCAATTCTTTTCAAAGTGAACACGATAAAATTTTGGTACAATACAAATGATTAAATGAACTCATAGCAATCAATTAAAAGATATCCTTAATTACCTAATTACCTAGATAAATTATACTCAGATTTTTGTGAAAGCAAACAAACTCATTAGTCATATTTAGCCTTGTCTTGTTTAGTTTGACTATCATGACAACTAGCAATACGAGAGAATCATTATGCAATAAACAAATTTATAATTGTTGATAAAATTATATGCTGCTATAAGTTTATCATATTAGCAATACTTTGATTATTTATAATGCAAAAAGATATGTTAAAATGAAAAGTAATCATGCAAATGATTTGCAACAAGAAATTCAAGAAGTTAATTACTTCTAGTAATACTAATAGTTGTGATAATAAAGATGAAGTATTTTTGAAAAATATAATTTATCACTATGATAAAATTTATCATTGTGATAATGAAATTGATATTTTTGAAAATTTAACAATGATAATTAAAAATTTCATCCTATTTTTGCAATTCTTTCTAAAATATTCAAAAAAAAAAAAAATTCATTCATTTCTTGAAAAATACAGATTTGAATCACTGTAATAGAATTAGTCACTATTAAGCAAAATTAACATCCTAGGAATTCTGTTACAAAAAAAAATTCATTAATGAGACTTTAAATCAACCTTATCGAACCTTATCCTTCCTCACTTAACAAATACATTACTTCATTAGATTATTGCTATTTAAGAAGTACCTCATTGCTATGGAAACTACAAATTTTTTTTTTTTTTTCGCCGTTTCATTCCATTCAATAATTCTATCATCCTT